CCGAGACTGAATAAAATATTCGTCAATTTCCTCATTTTCCGGCAGATTTTTCAGGTTTTCCACAGGAAACCATGAGACACATTTTACTCATCGCTGAGTTCCTGCACTTTTGGCGATTATGAGTGAACTAAACTCAAATTTGGGTCGTTCTCATTCGCCGTGTGACTTTATCGGACTCTGCCAGTGTTATTTCTGCTCTCTCTCTCTCTTCTAAACGCTCTCGTCACCCATGGATTCAGACCATACAAGCAGTGATGCAAAATATCATGACACTCACGTGACACTCGTTTACGCATCAACCGACTTTCGCTGACAGAACGTTTTGTCAAGCAGTGATAGGTATGAGCCATTACAAACAACAATCACCAGTAATGGTCGCTGCTCGCAAGCAAAACGTTACACTCGCTGCTGATGATGAAAAGCACAACGAAAACAGTGAAGACTTCTGCAGTACGATCATGAGAAGAAGCGAAACGACAGAAGAAAATTAAAATAATGCCATGGCATTCCAAGTTCGTCTCGGCAGGCGCGACTGTGTGAGTTCCAAACAAAGTAGGCAACATTAAACGGAAGCTGTTGGGCTTACTCACCAACACTTTCACATAAGCAAGCAAAGCAGCAACTGCTTCAAAACGAGCACAGATGAGTGTCGTGATTGTCGGGAATGACCAGATTGGTTATGGATCACAACCGAAGACGACATTCACCAGTTGGTTTTTACTTCTTTCGTCAACTTGATGGATGGTCATGGAGAGAGCTTCGACGAGCACATTGATAGGAATGTACAAAGCGTTACTACCATCAGAGTTGCGACCTATCACAATCACCATAATCAAACAGCTGATGGTAGTAACGCTTTGTACATTCCTATCAATGTGCTCGTCGAAGCTCTCTCCTTGACCATGCATCAAGTTGACGAACGAAGTAAAAAGCAACTGGTGAATGTCGTCTTCTGTTGTGATCCATCACCGATCTGGTCATTCCTGACAATCACGACACTCATCTGTGCTCGTTTTGAAGCAGTTGCTGCTTTGCTTGCTTATGTGAGTGTGTTGGTGAGTGAGCCCAACAGCTTCCGTTTAATGTTGCCTGCTTTGTTTGGAACTCACACACTCGCGTCTGCCGAGACGAACTTGGAATGCGAAGGTATTGTTTTCATTTTCTTCTGTCGTTTCGCTTTTTCTCATGATCGTACTGCAGAAGTCTTCACTGTTTTCGTTATGCTTTTCATCATCAGCAGCGAGTGTAACGTTTTGCTTGTGAGCAGCGACCATTTCTGGTGATTGTTGTTTGCCATGGCTCTAACTCTCACTGCGTGACAAAACGATCTGTAAGCGATAGTCGGTTGATGCGAAGACGAGTGTCACATGAGTGTCATGATATTTTGCATCACTGACTACCATCAGCTGTTTGACGATCGTGATTGTTATAGGTCGCAACTCTGCCTACAAGTCTTAGTTCTTTTAATTATTCTAAAATCTATTCTCTTAACTCCTTCTGTATTGGAATTGGTAGCCTTGAAAAGGGCCGTTTGTTTGTTGATTGTTGACCCTGAAAAGGCAAATCCACTTACCCGGTCCTGATTCATAGATAACATTTCTTAACGACGCCCACGGTATACATAACAAGGTAGGCTACTCTCGACAGTAAATATCTACGTCATTCCTATCTTTGAGCAGCGCTGACCGTAGTAACGCATATCGTGAAGTGCGGGTTTGATTTCTTGAAAATGGTGAAGTGCGCTGTTATTAATTGCCAAAATTATGAAGGGAATAAACTGTGTTCCGTACAGTTAAAGTATTTTTGGTTTCCACGTGAAGAAAATGTGAAAGCAGTGTGGCTGAAAGCCTGCGGCAGAGATTCAAATTCGCAACAACACTTGAAAATGTGTGTCGGAACATTTTGTGAGCAGGATTACAGGCTGAAGGATATCTTGTTGAATACGGAGTGGCCAAAAAGAAGGCTGAAACCAGGAGCCATTCCTAGTCTGAAATTACCATCGCAGGATGTAATTGTTCCATTTTTAACTTTGCCACAGAGCTCCGAAATAAGGTTTAATTCAACGGGTTCTAAAAATGAATTTACCTTAACGATATCTTCTCGCACTCTCTGTCTACAATCGTCAGAGGAATACACGAATACCTCATTCGAATATTCTCTCCATGGTACCTCGGCCTTAATTCGGAATGATGTTGCTGTTCAGTCATTAAACCCGGTTATTTTTCATGACATTGGTATCCAATTTGGTAGTTGTACCAGAAATAAGGCTGTTCAAACGGGGTAATCAGTTGATCGACAGCTTCTTTAAAAATGTAGCTATGTGATGCTAAAACATTGCTTTTAGGAAAATTTTGGAAAGTTCTTTGAGAAGGGAGAATTCGCAGTTGAAGAAAAAGCTCAATTAAGAGAACCGAAAGACTGCTCCGGAAGTCCAAAGCATTGAATGACAATGTTTCCAAGATATTTTCAAAGGGGCAGCTGCGAAAATTAAGGGATCCTCATCAGCGACGGATTCAGTGGACACCTGATGACATATCTCGTGCAATATCGTTACATGCTGCTGGTGCCAAAACATACCGATTGCTTTTGTCTCGAGGATTTCCTCTACCTGCAGTTTCGACTCTCAAGAAATGGGTAGGTGTATTTTAAGCTTACCCCAGGTATTTTGAAACTAGTGCTGAACCTTTTGGAGAACAGTGAATATTGCGAAAAAGAACGGGTTTGCGTTTTGTCATTCGATGAAATGGAAATCAAATCAGTTTTTGAGTACCACCGGAGTTGCGATAAAGTTTTGAAACCATCGAAGTACGTCCAAGTTGGAAACAAGTAATCTACTACAATTTTGATTCTGCTATGACAGCAACCATAATCAAAACACTCAAAAATATTAAATTTCCCGTTGTTGCTGTTGTTTATGACATGGGTCCGACCAACATTGGTCTATGGCGAGAGCTTGACATCAGCTGCGAGAAAACCTATTTCACCGTAGAGGACCTGAATTTTTTTTTTACTTTCGCAGACCCTCAACATCTCATGAAACTTATTCGTAATCATTTTATCGATACTGGTTACGTGTTGGACAAGGAAGATCAGAAACACTGGATTACCTCTAAGTCAGTAGTCGAGTTTTCGAACCTCCAGCCAAATGAACTTAAAATTTGCCATAAAATCACGTAAACCCATTTGGATGTCAAAAATGCTGCCCGTCAAAAGGTAAAATACGCGGTACAGCTATTATCAAACTCCGCCTCACAGGCAATTAGGAGAGCTGTGAGTTTAGGCGAGATAACATCTCAAGATGCTTTAGTAACCAGTGATTTCATAAAAATAATGAATGATTGGTTTGATTTGTTTGATTCATCGTCGGCAACGAGGGGTATGAGAGAAAGGGTTAAAGCATTCGATCATACAAACCATGTTCATCAAAAAATTATATGTGATTCAAATGAACTGATTTCACATCTACGAGTTCCATATAAATCTGCTCTTCTACCATGCCAGAAGGGTATTCTCGTGAACAATGCAGCACTGGTTGGTTTGTCAGAATGGCTCCAAACCACTTACGGTAATCCTTATATCTTAACAAGACGAATACAACAAGATGATCTCGAGTATTTCTTTGGTATCATACGCTCAAAAGGAGGATTACATGATCATCCAACTGCCTTGGAATTTACCTACAGGTTGAGAAACAGCATTTTAGGTAAAACTCTTTTATACTTTTCGTAGTGATATATGTATATTCTCACTTGAAGTAACATCCTTAGTAAGCTTAGACAGACTATGTTAGATTAATAAGTGTACAAAATTATGCATGTGAAAATTTAAAAAATGTAATGTTTATCAGGTCGATCTGATGCAACTCAACAAGTCAACAGCAGTAACGTAGAGGAATCAAATGAAGAGTACGATGAGCAGCAATTTACTGGTTGTTTGCTACGAAATATTACGAGTCATGAAGTCAAGGAGACTGGATGCGAAGGACCGCTGGACGACCAAATCAGTGCTGATTTGGAATAGGAAAATGTTTCATCACACTTCTCAGAGTTTGAAGAATATGCTATTGAATATATTGCAGGATATGTTATCAAAAAGCTCCAACTTAAAATTTCACCACCGGACGAATCCATTTTTACTTGGGTGGACCGTGGTTTTACCATAAATATAGTGTCATTAGACAACGTATTCAAACGGGTTCATGGCGAAACGTTTGATGTAGAGAAAAAAGCCATTGCATCTTGTATGAACACATCTAAGGATGTAGACTTCTTCCTGTAACATGTCGAACGGATCATGCTAAATGCGCATCAAAGTGTGACATATTTGTATAATTTGTAAGAACTTTCTGAGTATAACGCGAGAAATATAAAATTTAGAGTGGGATGTCCCTAACTGCAACCCGTCTGCACGACCTCTAAACCTTCATCATTCTGTACCATTTTTTTTTTTGCACAGGCTCATATTTTGTGGCTACGAATCAAACTGGTGGTCGGCCTATAAGATTGTAAATACATTTTTTTTTTCAAGACGAAGCACCCTAATGGTAGATTCGATTCAGATTTCACACATGCTAATTCCCCCCTTGCCCAAACTCTGCCAAATTCTCACTGATACAGTGCCAGTCGGTTCAATGTCAGCATGCTTCAATCACATCCAGTTAAATTGAAAAACAAGCAGTTGGGGGGCCTCAACGGACGACGGGGGAGGTGGCAGCCAAGGAGGGTTGGGGTAGACCACCCCAAAATGCACAGTCGTCAGCTAGCACGGAGCATCCTCCTTGCTGCTAGTTATTCGCGTTCAAATTTCGTACTGCGCCTGTAGTTATACCACGAGCAGTGTTGTTGTGCATACGGGCGTCTATAGCAATAGACAGAGGTATGTAGCAAGCACAAGCAGACACGTGACAAACGTCCGCCCCCTCCCCCCTCATCGCAGTAGAAGCACAGTCAGTTTTCGGATGGAAAACTGCTTCGCAGTCCTCAGTCAGACGGCACTCGGTTCGGTCCTACTGTGACCCGAAAGGACACTTTTAAAAGGATTGGACTTGTGCTTGCTGAAGCTTCGTTCCTGTGTGTAACAACGCAAACCAAAAGGAAGCAAAGCGCCAATCGCGTGTTGGTTAGTGATTTCTCTTTACTGTAGTGCTTTAGTGTAATTTATAAAGTGTAAGTTTAGACAGGGTGACTGTTTCGGAGGGAAAATAATCACTTTTGCGGTGCGTCATAGGTTTGAATAAATACAGTCAGCTCTGCACAATTCGACGTTCGCCGGAAGTCGATGAAGAGAATTGAAACCATGGTGGAGTCTTTTGAATGGTTTTCAATTCGTTTGCTGTTCAATATTTCAGTACAGTAAGCGAGAGATGACTGTACTAGTCGTGCTCAGTCGAGAGCTTTCGGATTCCAGTCGTGAATAAGGACATCGTTGTGTTTGCTATACGTAGGTACATATATAGCTACAGTCTGTGTTCTAGAACGAAGAAGGATCTGGAAATGGAGTGAAGCAAAACAAATTGAGTCCCATTTTATGGGGTCTCTTGTGGTCGGTCCCGGTGGTGCTTGCTGGTATGAACGAGAAGCAATGTTGCCGCAAGCAATTTAATTAAGGGTATTTATGTATGTACAGCCAAGAGGCTTGTGTCGAAATTAATTAGCTTGCGGTGAAGCGTTTTCAAGACTGCTTTGGAGGGAAAATGTTGTTTGATGCTGAGAAAAGCTCCGTTTGAATGATAAACTAGGATACGGGAATGGCTCGTTTCGCATAAAGACGCTTCGTATAATGAACATTTCGCATAATAGTTGCGGTACGTTAGAAGCGTTAGGTTCCTATATTTGTGTATGAACTCTCCATATACAACTAAAGGAACTTCTTCTAACGTACAGCAACTACAGGTGCGTTTACCGTATACAAGATACTAACAGGGTAATTTTACTTAGAATTCAACATCCACATTTTATCACACTGCGGCTGTATGGCATTTCCTCGAATGCCATGACCCTGAATTTCATTACACAGAATGAACTGTTTCGTCGAATGCCATTATTGTGAATGTATTACTACCCCGAATTTCAAAGGCATTTATTTCACGGGAAAATCTAAGGAAAGCGTCACATCGACGAAAACAACACTGACGGAGCTGCACTGCCCAGTCCCATCTGGAAAAATAGCAAGCCGAAAAAATCGCTGTTGAAAATGTATTTATCCGTAGACATCGGATACATCAATGCTAGTGAGGAGCGACCGTGGATTGATAAACCCCCGGAAATATTTTAGAAAGTATTGACATGAAAATATTGATGGAAACATTGGCGAAACTGCTATCGTGTGGGGCGCACTTTAGACGAGGCTTACCTGCATAAGCGCGAACCATAAATTGACCTTACCTAAAATGGTTAAAATTGTGTATAATCCCTGCTAAACTTCAACTGAAATGGTTATGGAACTTTACATGAACGTTTAATGATAAAGTTTTAATCTTAATTATTATAGTTTTTTGGAAGTGGACCTTACAAATAATGGGTTGTTAAGAACCATTACCATTCAAAATTCTTGTTTTCTCCATACATTTTCGGAAAGAAAACTATATAAGAACATTTTTACTTATGGTTTGAGAACATTAATGGTTATGGTTATGGTAACCAGTAAGGTCCATGAATGGTTTTGTAACATCGATCAACTTTATGTGGAATATATCGCGAATTGGTTGCCTGTAAATTACTGATTACCAATTCACGATATATTTCACGTAAAGTTGATCGATGTTACAAAACCATTAATGGACCTTACTGACTACCATAACCATAACCATTAATGTTCTCAAACCATAAGTAAAAACGTTCTAATATAGTTCTCTTTCCGAAAATCTATGGAGAAAACAAGAATTTGGAATGGTAAAGGTTCTTAACAACCCATTATTTGTAAGGTCCGCTTCCAAAAAACCATAATACATAAGGTTAAAACTTTATCACACAAACGTTCATGTAAAGTACCATAACCATTTCAGTTGAAGTTTAGCAGGGATTATAAACAATTTATAACCATTATCGGTAAGGTCATGTGATGGTTCGCGTTTATGCGGGTAACGTTCAACTGTTTTGCAAAAGCATGTTGTTGAAAATTAATAGTGTTACCTATTGCAATCGACACGTAGAGAAAATTTCAATCGATTGATGCTGGATTGACACTCGCAAAGAACCGCTCATGATTTAAAAAACGAAAAATTGCTTTCGACCTTTTGTCCATCTAAGCTCAATTCGACCTTTTGTCCCTTCGACAATTTGTCCCTTCGACATTTTGTTCTTCAGACTTTTGTGCTTCGACTTTATGTCCTTCAAAATTTTGTCTTACAACCATACTGGACACCCTCCAGAATTGTGTCTTTACACTGAACGAAAACATCCGCAATTTTTCGAATGATTATTGCATTGCTCGAGCCCTTTAACAACATGCTTTCGAATTTCGGATGATTGCTTAATGGTAGAATTAGTCATCAGCTGATGAGCATCCATATGACTGTTATTCAAATAAAGGTTGATATTTATTTGAAAATTAATGATAAAGACACCATTTACGCGCAGCTGGAACGAGTATACGACAGCTGCCCAAATCATGACGTCAAAATCGATATCGGAGATCTGAACGCTCAGGTTGGCCAGGAGGAGGAATTTCGACCGGTTATCGGAAAGTTCAGCGCTGCCCAGTTTACGAACGACAACGGCCCCAGACTCATATATTTTGCCACCTCCAAGAATATGGTCATACGTAGTACCTATTTCCAGCACAGCCTCCCATATCGGTATACCCTGGGTACTGCGGAGTGGATCGATTTCAATTCTCTTCGTCGACTTTCTCTTTCGATAATAACTTGAGCACAACATCGTTTGTTATTGTGTTTGTTTGTCGTATTAGATGCTAGATAAAAGCACCATTTATCGATCTGTGAGCTGAAATGCCTGGAAATGTCTTGACATGGCCGTGGGGATACAAAGAGAATGTCGCCGAAGAGAATCTGTTAATATTACTTAGGAAATAATGCAATTTTCAGCTTGATATATGCTGGTTCACTAGCACAACCAGCTCAAAAAACTAGCACGAATTTCAGTTGCTCTTGAAATCTCAGGTTGGTAGATGCTGACGCCCTGTTTAAATTATGCTGGCTAGTACAGTTCTAGTACACAAGCACCAGCACACCAGCACAGATGTAAACACCCCATAATTGAGCTCAAGAGAGGTGTATGAGCACAGATTCAATCCACGAAATTCAACCCACCCAGCAAAAACGGTTGCTCTAAGGCCACCGAGGCCCTCTATTACAATACAACACTTATGATCTAGTTGATGCTATAAGCATTGAAATCCGACATGTTTCACACAACACATGACAAGAATGTAACTCCAGACTCTCTCTTTACCTGGCTTTGAAGCTCTTACATGAGCATTCAACCACCGACAAACCGACATGAATAACCATAGCAAAAACAATAAAATTTCTGACCAAAGCACACTACTGACATCTGGATCCGTTTTCGCGGGAAATATTTCGCTAAGCCATGAACCCGCATGCAAACGTTATGAATCGGTTCGTGTCTGATCTATTCTGGAAAATTATTTTTAACTAGATAAAAAAAATCCCATAGCTTTGACAGCTCGAATCACTGCACATTTAAATCGGCCGTTTACGATTTTTGGGCATAAGTCTGAATTAAGTGTAATGTCAGTTTGTCCCCCGCACTGGGGGGTTGCTATTCAAGTGCGGGAAATAACAATCTGCCTCTCGGTGAACAGCGGGTTGACAAATATAGCAGCGCGATAGCAACCGGCCCAAGCGTTGCTATCTATGAGATGTTTGTTTTGTTTTTCATTTGAACATTGTGATATATGAATGAATTTGGATGTAGGACAAAAATGTGGTCCCAAGGGACAGCAAAGCATTCCTCTGGAAGACCCGGAACATCCATAAATGTGGAAACAAGTAAAAAAAGATCTAGATTTTTTTAATCAACTTGTTGTTATGCTGCATGAATGAATTCATGAAATCCTTGAAATATCCCATAATTCCTTTGAATTCCTTGAAATCTCCTGCAATTTTCCTTAAATAAATGCAACTGATATGAAGATCTCTAATCATCTACGAAGTTCCAAGAACTTCCCAACATATAATGAAACTACCAAAAAATCTATATACTTCTCTGAAGGTCTCTAGGCGTTCTTGAAGATTTCTGAACATTTTAAAAGATCTCGCGATTTTCATGAACATAATCTGATCGTCGCTGAAGTTCCTGCATTATTTTGCAGTTCTTTAAACTGCATTGAAAACCATGGAACTCCCTTAAAATTATCTCACATTTTCCTCTTATGATTCTGAAATTTAAATAAAGGTCTTGGTTCTTTGAAGTTTAGGGAATTCCCCGAGTTTCTTGGAACTTCTTAAACATTCTTCAATTTTCTTGAAACTAGTTGAACTGTTCTTAGTTTATCTTATCAGTCTTTCTGTTTTCGAAGCATGAAGTTCTTGGTATTACCTTGAACTAAATTCTTGAAGTTTTTCTGAAGTTTATGGAATTGACCGGAATTTATCGGACCTTACCCACACAAATCTTCGAACTTCCCTGAAAGTCTGGAATTTCTTGGATTTCACGAAGCTATGAAGTTATTGGAAGTGCCGTTAAAATCTCTGAAATTCCCTAAAGCCATCTAGTTCTTTAAAATGTCAATTTTCCTCAAGTTACCTCTCCACATCTCTGAAATTATTTTGAATTCTCTTAAGTTCGCTAGATATCCCTGAATTTCTAAAATTTTCTTAAAAGTTCCTGCAGTTTCCTGAAGTTTTTGGAACCACTTTGAAAATCCTGAAGTTTGCCTGAAGTTCACCAAAATTTCCAGAAGTTTCCGAAACTTCCCTTTTGTTCCCGCAGTTTGCCTATAAAACTTCCTGAAATTCTCAGTACTTCTTTTTATTCCTCAGACTTTCCTGAAGATTTCTATTGTTTCCTGAAGCATGCTGAAATTAATGGAACTGCCCAGAAGATCTTTGAACTGTCCTTTAAACATAGATCTTCTGTGTAGCTTTCTTAATGTTTTAATTTTTTCACTATCCTTAAATTTTCGGAACTTCTTGATGGTTTCCTCTATTTTACTGAAATAAATGGAACTGCCATAAAGTTCT